GGGTTTATAAGGCATGGTGTTTCCTGATTGGCTTGGAGAGTCAGATGACCTCAATATGAACACTCAAAAGTCAGCTGACTCTCTTCAGGCTAGAAGAGGGCACCCTTTTCACAAAGGCAGGGTTATTTTAGTCCAAGAGCTACATGTCCTCATTGTAAACCTTCTAGGGGCCACATACCAAAGTGAGTGGGGGCAAAGTAGGGGGGGGAGAGCCACCCCCTCTCACACACAAACCTTTTCCTATTTTTAAATAAAAACAATCCTTATGAAACTGAGTTGAATTTAAACTGAAGTTCTAATTAATACCTATAATTAATTCCATTAAATAAATGTCCATAATTAATTCAACTAAACTAAGGCCTCTAATGAATCAAACTGCATTTGTCAGAGGGCTGTTGTGCGGTGGCATTAAAAATCGGTTGGGAGGCCAGATCCTCTTTGCCCTAAGGTCTAGTATCCCTGGTGCCCTGAGAGCCCAAAAAGCTTGTAATACAGAAAGTGAAGCACAGGTCTCAATGGAGCCCCTTGTTCAAGATGCTCCCCGCAAGAGAGGAGAATATGGAATGCGCATGAGCGGATGACTAAAGTGTGGATCCTGGTCCAGAAAGGCAAGCTAGATAGGAGGATGTGCAGAAGTATATTTAGTAGGGTACTGGCAAACTCTGAAGTGGAGGGTCCCTTGAGTGTCATAGCCATGTCTGCTCACAGCTACAGCCATGCCCCCTTCCACAATTCTGCAGCCTTCTAAGATGGAAGGGGGAGCAGGCTTGTTTTCTGCTGCTCCGTAGGGTAGGAAACATACCAATACTGTAGATTCAAATGACAAGAGAGGAGATTCCAACCAAACTTTAGAAAGAACTTTCTGACAATAAGAGCTGTTTGACAGTGATAAGGACTCCAGAAGGTGGTGGACTCTCCTTCACTGGAGGTTTTTAAGCAGAGGTTGGGTGGCCCTCTGGTAGTGATTCTTTAACTGTGATTCCTGCATTGCAGGGGGGTGGACTAGATGACTCTTTGGTTCCCTTCCAGCTCTACAATTCTGATTCCATTATTCTAAGATTATACAATAATCTTATACAGTGGTACCTCGGGTTACAGACGCTTCAGGTTACAGACTCCGCTAACCCAGAAATAGTACCTCGGGTTAAGAACTTTGCTTCAGGATGAGAACAGAAATCGCGCGGCAGCAGCAGGAGGCCCCATTAGCTAAAGTGGTACCTCAGGTTAAGAGCAGTTTCAGGTTAAGAACGGACCTCCAGAACGAATTAAATTCTTAACCCGAGGTACCACTGTAATTATACAATAATAAATAGTGATGCTTTGCAATTATCAGTTCAGATCTCCCTGAAAGGCTTCAGCTAGATCTATTATTTTTTGTGCAATGATCTGGAGTGCTCCAATATCTTCATTCTGAGTGACTTGGGTTGGGTTTTCTTTGATGTTCCATTGGACATAACAGAATTTGCACCCCATTCTCTTGAAACTGAATCCCATTGGACCCTAGGACCCTCGTACCTACGGGACCGCCTCTCCCAGTATGCCCCATGGAGATCTTAAGGTCCATAAATAGCAACACCCTAGAGGTCCCGGGCCCTAAGGAAGTGTGATTAGCCTCAACCAGAGCCAGGGCCTTTTCAACACTGGCTCCGGCCTGGTGGAACGCTCTGTCTCATGAGACCAGGGCCCTGCAAGATCTGATTTCTTTCCGCAGGGCCTGTAAGACAGAGTTGTTCTGCCTGGGCTTTGGCTTGGAATCAACTTGATCCCCTTCCTCTCTATCCTTTTTCCTTTCTCCTCCTGTGATGGAACTCCTATTTGGGGACTTCCTTGGCTTTTTTTCTGGCCCACCTAGGACCAGTCTGGATAGTTGGCCTTGGTGAAGATTTGACGTTTTCATCCCCCAAAAGTTTTTTATCTGAGTTTCTACTGAAATGAGGCTGCATTTTAATGTTGTATTTTAATATTGTTTTTAAGTTGTATTTTAATCAATTGTTTTATACTTGGTGTTAGCTGCCCTGAGCCCGGTCTTGGCTAGGGAGGGCGGGGTATAAATAAAATTTATTATTATTATTATTATTATTATTATTATTATTATTATTATTATTCATTGTGCTGCCAGCGTTTCTAAGGGTTTAACTTTGGAGCAGACAGAACAACAAAATCTTGATGCCTTCCTGTGCCCCTTCTCCAGAAGGACCTTAGGAGACCATCCTCAGTGGCTGAGACACTATCTTTCAGTCTTATTGGCTCCAATCAACACAAAGGGTGAGAAGACCTCAGTGGCTACAAAGCTCCCCTTTCAGGCTGATTGGGTGGGCTCTTTTGACATTGGAGACAGGGGCCCTGCTGCTGAAATAATAATGGGGCACACACACTCCATAACTCTGGAGTACTACATCTCTGAGTATACCTAGTTCAAGGTGGGTTACAGGTAAACATAAGAAGAGACCTGCTGAATGGGACCCAAAAGGGCCCATCAAGTTCCAATAATGATTTGAAAGAGCCAGTCAAGTCCTTGGCTGTTCTAGCATCAAAGGATGGTCTCCATGGCTGACTACGAATCTCACTGCTCTCCCCACATCCCTAGAGAAACACTATGTGGAGATGAAGCCTCCACCAGGCGTTCTGTCTCTGTGACATCTGAGCCTTTCCAAGAGGGGGAATTCTAGCCAGGCAGGGAGAGAGCGAGACGGTTCCCCCAGATTACAGCTCCAAACTTCAAAGGAGCCAAAGAGCTGCAGCTCAGCATTTGCCATGGCTTAAAAGAGAACACCGTGTATTATAAATTATTGCCTTTCCTCATCGGCACATCTGCTTTAGGGGCAGGCCTATGCCTTCACCGCCTTGGATGTTCCAAGGGGGAGAGAGGGAATCAGCAGAGGGGATGAGATTTTTCTTTTTAAGTACATTTGTTGGGAGAAAAGATGACATGGAAAATAGAGAGAGAGAGAGAGAAATATTTATTCACAGTGCATTGTTAAACTGTGGGACTCACTTACACAGGAGGCAGTCGTGGCCAGCAACCTGGATACCTTTGGAAGAGGACTGGATGAATTCATGGAGGAGGATAAGATTCTCAGTGGTTATTAGCCACAACGACTGCTTCCAAATACCAGTTGCTGGAAGCCACACTCTCCTTCACTAGTGGTTTTTAAGCAGAGGTTGAATAGTCACCTATCAGGGATGTTTAAGCTTTGATTCCTGCATCGCAGCAGGTTGGACTAGATGACCCTTGGGACACCTTCCAGCTCTACAGTTCTAGGATTCTATGAGTCATTAAAATGGGCCTAATCTGGATAAAGCTTAGTTGGAGACAACCCAGGATAAGTTCAGCAGGAGAGGTGGGTCCCACAAAACAAAAGCCCCTAACTGCCAAAGGCCCTTTCTGAAATTCTCATTCAGATTTCCTTCTGGATTTGGGGGTTCCTAAGTCACTTGCCCTTGTTTCTGAAGCTGAACCAAATAACTGGACCTCCCACATTGATTGTTTTGTATTTCTCAATATTGTACATGAGAAATCATACCTGGAGACAAAGTCGATCTAGCTGGATATCATTTCCACTGACTGGCAGCAGTGGCTCTCCAGGATTTGAGGCAGAGGTCTCTCCTAGTCCTAACTGACAATGCTAAGGACTGAACCTGGGGCATTTTGCATGCAAAGCAGGTGCTCTACCACTGAGATAGGGCTCCTTAAAATGCTATGCACGCCCAGTTTGCTGCAGCTCTCTACACCCTCCATCTCCTCCATACCTTCCCTGTACTCAACAATACCAATCCACACAGGCATAGTGATGACAAAATGATTACAGAATTAGGGGCTTTTTCATTCATTCAGTGACATCTACGCTGGCTTGGTCATGTCCACAGAATGGAAGATGGCAGGATCCCCAAGGACACCCTCTGTGGGGAGCTGGCTTCAGGCACCAGACCCGTTGGCAGGCCAACTCTGTGTTACAAAGATGTCTGCAAACGTGACATGAAGGCTGACAGCATCAACCCTGCCATGTGGTAGTCCCTTACAGACAACCACAGTGCCTGGAGACAGACAGTCAGGTCATGCATCAGTAGCAGTGACCAGAGGAGGAATGACCACTGGGGGAAGTGTAGAAGAAATGCCATGGTGCATCTGCAGCAGCACAACCAGACACATTCGTCTGCCCCAGCTGCAACAAAACATGTCTCTTCTGCTTCGGTCTCTACAGCCACAGCAGGCGCTGTAACTCTCCAACGATTTGACTTCACTCTTCCATTGTCTCCTGAGACAGATGGATGTCAACCAACCAGCAAACCAATAAAAGGCAACTAAGAGACAACATGATAGCAGTGAATAAAATGCTACATGCTGTGAAGATACTGGACAGAGGCAATTTTTTCTCCCTGTCTCCTAACTCATGGGCATCCAATGAAACTGGATGTTTAAGGATTCAGGACAGATGAAAGGAAGCATTTCTACAAGCAGCATATGGTTAAACTGTGGAATATGTTAGCATAGTATGTTGAGATGGCCAACAATTTGGATGGTTTTGAAGGAGGAGAAGGCAAATTCATGTAGGGGCAGGCTATCAATGGTTGGTGGCTACTGGCATCCACAGTTGGAGGCAGCAGTGTTTCTGAACATCAGTTGTTGGAAACAGCAGGAGGGGAAAGGGCTCTCATGCACAGATCCTGCTTGTGGGTTTCCCATAATGGTCATCTAGCTGCCCAAACAGAAAGCCTCGTGCTGCTGGAATGCTGTAAATTAGATGCAACCCAATGACCCATGTCCACCCATTTCAACAGGTCAACTCTCAGTGGAGCTAACACTGAATGCGGCCCATCATTTTTATTAATTATTTTGTTTGTTTGTTTGTTTATTGAGATGATTTCTAACACGTTCAGTTTAGAAAAATATGCCTGGCACAGGGTACAATGCTATAAACATTATGCATAATGAAGCCTAAGTTCTATAGAGGAAATTAAACTTTAAAACATAAGCAACAGCAAGACGCATGGATCCAGTG